GATAATGATGATTGTTGCAAAATTTCACCAATATACTAAAAAACTATTGACTTGTACACTTAAATGGGTAAATTGTATGGTATGTGAATGACATCCTGCTTGTGCTAGCGCACTCTCTCTCTCTCTCAAATAAATAAATAAAATCTTTAGAAGAAAAAAAAAAATATTCTTTCTGCTCTAGACTGGGGACTGGAAAACTCTGGCTGTAACTGGCGAGATGGTAAATGTCCTAGGTTTGAGGGCCATATGGTGGCGATTGCCACTACTTAACTCTGGCCCAAGCAGCCATGAACAATACTTTAGTGGGCATGGCTCTCTTCCAGTAACACCCGATGCACAAAACTGATGATGGGGTCCACAGACCAGTTTGCCACGCCCCGTTCTAAAAGCTTACTATTCAAAGTACCCGGAGGACCAGGCATCAGCACCACCCGGCAGCTTGCTGGACATGCAGAGTCTCAGGCCCCACCCAGAACGACTGAATTAGAATCCGCACTTTAACGAGACTGCCCAGGTAATTCACATGCACATCAGAAATGTGAGAAGCACTGTCCTAGAACTCGATGCTAAAACCTGGCATTTGTTTAGCGTTTAAATAATTACCCTGAAAGATGTTTTTTCCAAAAGCATCCTACTCTTCCCTAACAGTGAGTTACAAATAAATTGCTGTTTAAAGTCATACTTACTTCATACTTCTTAGAGTAGGTCTCATTTTCTGAATCCTTTAGGACTTCCTGTAGTTTTTTCTCTTGTAGAGTTAACCAGACCACAGCATCTTTCATCGTTCCCTAAAATTCACACAAACACACGCACATTTAAAACTCTACCCTAAATAGACTTGGAGATTTTTTTTTTTTTTAAAGATTTTATTTATTTATTTGAGACAGAGAGAATGAGAGACAGAGAGCATGAGAGGGAGGAGGGTCAGAGGGAGAAGCAGACTCCCTGCCGAGCAGGGAGCCCGATGCGGGACTCGATCCCGGGACTCCAGGATCATGACCTGAGCCGAAGGCAGTCGCTTAACCAACTGAGCCACCCAGGCGCCCCGAGATTTTTTTTTAACAATAAAATTAACAACTTCAAACATCAGTGTAATAATGCAATCGTTACACACCTGACTCATGGTGCCAAAAAGGAATTTTGCTTGTGCACATAACACCTTAAATTTTAAAATGGATTGAAACTAGCACCTGAACATAATGTGCTAAAGAGACAAGGTAAGCAAGCCCCTATTTTTTTTTTTTTGCTTATCCATTTCTATTATTCCTCATTTTTAGAGAACATTATTCTAAATTACTCATTTATATTAGGCATTTCAGAATACTGCTTTCTAATACCTCTAAATATGGGTTAATTCAAGAGCTATTCACACCCAAATACACTGACATCAAAAATATCTTGAGCATTTTAAAGACCCTGAAAATAACGCTACTAAAGGTTTTGGTTCGGCTATCCTGTGGATGTGAGCAACAACTATTTTTTCTTAGATTCTTGCTTGCTTACATTTGAAAGCAAAATTTACTGCCAGAGGATAAAGCCAAAGATGTTACATCTTATTTCCATTCTCCTTTAACCTTCATTTACTCTTCTCTTTCTATTAAACAGGAGTATTTTCTATATATTTTTGCATCTGATTTCATGGACAGTTGAATTTTTCATTTTATTTTTTAATAAGAAAATTAATTAGAAAAGAGTAGCTCCCCAGCAGGTCAGAAATAAGTGAACTGAATTATACGCTTGCGTCCCAGCTTGAGTCTCTGTTCCAGAGTCAGCAACAGATCTGGCGTGGTGCCTCAAACGTAACGGTTGGAAAAACATAGGCCTAAATTTGTCACATAAAATGCGACAATATGACTGCATGTAAACATGTCTGAGGAAGTAGTTTAAATACATATTAAAATAATATTCAAAAACACTTTAGTAAATTCACAGCACTCATTTATCTCCACAGCAGCAGAATATGTGTTTATTTGCATCTCACTGATTTTTATGAAATTTGCACCCACAATATTTTGTGTACCTGAGAGTCAAAGGAAAAAACTGAATAATGAAATTGCAATCTGATAGTGATTCAAGCGTACCACAACAAACAACGATGAAGAGTAGAACACACTGCTTCCATTTTTTATAGATTATACAATCCCAGTTACATGTAGTCAAAGAACAGGTAAAATGGAAATATGCTAAAATTAGATGGTGGTGATGATTGCACAACTATGTAAATACACCAAAAACCACTGAACTGTGAACTTTAAATGGTTTAATTTCATGGCATGTGAATTATATCTCAAAAAAGCTGTTAAAATTAAAATAGACAAAAATGAGATAGCTCTAGAATTTTTCAAAAGCCTGCTAAACTTAATTTGTCTTACAGAGTGCCTATGTAAAAGTTATTTTAGATAATTCAGCAAAGTTTAATTAATTACCACTTTTAACTTAAAAATTTTGAAGAACAGGCAAAACTAATCTACAGTGAAAGCAATTAGAATACCGGTTGCCCAGGGTGGGGGGTACAGATAGGAGAGAGGCACAGTGGAACATTCTGGGTAACAGAAATGTGTTACATCATGACTGGGGCATGGCTTACATGGGTGTATGCATTTGTCAAAACTCACAGAACTGCAGTTTGAAGCTCTATATGCAAATTGTACCTCAGTTTTGTTTTTTTTTTTTAAAGATTTTATTTATTTATTTGAGACAGAATGAGAGAGAGAGAGAGAGCGAGCACATGAGAGGGGGGAGGGTCAGAGGAAGAAGCAAGCTCGCTGCCGAGCAGGGAGCCCGATGCGGGACTCGATCCCGGGACTCCAGGATCATGACCTGAGCCGAAGGCAGTC